TCCCGCTCCCTTCTCTACCACTACCTCAGCGCGGAGGTGGCCGCTCTCGAGCAGTCGGACGCCGACCTTTCCGACGCCATCATACGCTTGAATGGGCGAACGATGGCATCCACGCCCTCGACTTCCTCTCTGGTCGTGGTGACGTCGCAGTGGGGTCGCCTTCAGGTATGCAGCAGTCCTGTCTCGAGCACCTGGAGCACAGCTACTTCGCCGCTGGAACCCGCCCTGCTGACGTCCACCCCCGCGGGGGCCTTCGTGAGCTCTGCGGCTCCGCCGTGATGTGCGGCGAGACTTCAACTGCCGTCGCGCCCTACAGCAATGACCTCGTGTCCTGGCCAGCCGTGGGAGCCGTTCCTGTCGACCTTGGCAGCGCTCTCTCGCCTGAGCACTCCTCCTGGCTGGGGGACTTGACGGCCAAGATGCGAAGACCTCCAGCTGCAGCGGCGGCTCTTCGGTCTGAGCTCGGACTCCATCATCCTTACGTTGACCCCGCCTTCCGCCACCAGCGCACCTACGCCGACTTCGTGCGTGGGATGCTGGAGCGCGGGATGGTTCGCCTGGTGCCCACGCAGGGGGAGGCCACTGTCGGCTTGTTCTTCGTCAAGAAGAAGTCAGGGCAGCAGCGGATCATCTTCGACGCGCGGCTGGCCAACTGCGACTTCGAGCCGGCTCTCTCCACGCGCTTGCCGTCTGCCTCGGCCTTCGCGAGGATGGAGACCAGCGAGTGCGACGTGGTCTGGTACTCCGTGGGCGATGTGCAGAACGCCTTCTACGCCATCTCTGTGCCCCCGGAGCTGGGGCCCTGCTTTCGCCTCCCTCCTGTTCGGGCTGGTCTGGCAGGGCGGCCGCGTGTGGGCGGAGTGCGGCCTGCGGCGGCGGCGTCGCTCACGCCTGTCCTGGCAGTAGTGCCAATGGGCTGGAGCTGGGCGTTGCACCTCCGCCAGCTTGTGACGGAGGAGGGCCTCGCGCGCGGGGGGCTCGGCGCGGGCGCCCTGGTCGAGGGCCGCGCCGCCTCTCGGCCTCTTGGACCTGACCGCCCGCTCGGTGCTGCAGGTGCGTCGACAACTTCATGGCGCAGGGTGCCCCGAAGTCGCGCGTCGCCGAGGCAGGGCGGCAGGTCTCCTCGAGTCTCGAGGACCAGGGCTTCTCTGTGCACGAGGACACCGAGGCCGTCGACCACGCCGACTTCGTGGGCCTCTCTTTCGACGGCCGCGCGCGCACGGTGCGGGTCTCCACCCGGCGCATGTGGCGGCTCCGACTGGCGATCGAGGAGCCCCTGAAGCGCGGGCGCTGTTCGGGCGGGGTCTTGGAGGTGGTCTTGAGCCACGCCGCGTGGCTGATGCTGCTGCAGAGAGCTACCCTGTCCATCTTAAGCGCCGCGGTCCACGCCTTCGTGAAGAAGCACAAGCACGAGGTCACGCCGCTTTGGGACTCGGTGATCGAGGAGCTTAAGCTTGTCAGGGACCTGCTCCCGCTGCTGGTGGCCCACGCGGACGCGGCCTGGTACCCTTCAGTGACAGCGAGCGACGCTGCGCCGTGGGGCTGCGGTGTGTGCGTGCGCCGCGCGGACCCCGACTTGGTCGCGCGCTGGGGCCGCGCGGCGGAGAAGTGGCGCTACAAGCAGGGCGCCGCTGCTGCTCGGAACCATGCGTTCGCAGCCGACGTTGCTGAGACCGCCTGCTCGTATGACTACCCCGACAGCCTTCGCCAGGCCGATGAGTACGACAAGTCGTACGACATGATCGACGCGAGCTTCGCTGGCGCGGAGGCCAGGCATATCGTTGAGTCCTTTCAGGGACGGGGCCCAGCGAACATCCTGCGGTTGGAGGGGTTGGCTCTTTCGAGCGCTCTGCGCCACACCCTTCGGGGCCGTCGGGCTTTTGGGCATCGCATTCTCGCCCTCGTCGACAACGTGGGTCTCGCTCTGGCCGCAGGCAGGGGCCGCTCGGCGGCCTTCCGGCTTCGGGACGTTCTGCGCGAGCTTGCCGCCTTGACCCTCGGGTGTCGCCTACATATTCATGTTCGCTGGGTCCCGTCCGAAAGGAACCCAGCGGATAATCCATCCCGAGGCTTGTCCTACATCAAGCGGCAGCAGGAGCTGGGCGGGGCCATCAAACACCGCGAAGATGTTCCTGATGGTAAGCTTGCTGAGTCTCTTCCAGCTGTCCCGAGGTTTCCAACTCTCGACACGCTCGGCCCCTTACCAGATGCGTACCCTGGTGGCGATCCAGGGGTGCGGGCTGGCGGGGCTGGCAGCGCCGTCGGCGACGGCGGCGGCAGCACGGCGGACCCGGTGCCGCCGATCATCGCAGACATCGGAGCCCCCCCAGGACTCGTCCCACATGACGTACCTCGAGAGCCGTTCGGTGGCAGACGCTACCCGAAAGGATTACTTCAAGAAGATGAGGTCGTTTCTCGAGTGCGCCCTGGAAGGGGGCCTCCACTGGAGCAATGTGCAAGACCTCGACAATGCGCTGGTCCTCTACTTCGACAAGCTCTTCTACCTGGGCATGGCGGGCGATGTGGCCAGCAAAACTTTAGCCGCGGTGAAGTTCCACTACCCAGAGGTGGGTCGATATGGAGATCAGACCCTGCCACGCTCGGTTCGAGCCCTCGCGGGCTAGGCGAAAGTCGTCCCGCGCAAGACACGCCTGCCCGTGCCGCACGTCCTGATGCTGGCCATCGTGGGTCACCTGCTGTCACGTCGCCTGATGGAGCAGGCGGTGGCTGTCCTGCTCTCCTTCAGTGCGTACCTGCGGCCCGGAGAGTGCGACTCGCTGACGGCGCTCCAGCTGGTGCCACCTGTGGCTGTGGCTGGCCCTCAGGCCTTGTGTTGGGGCCTGCTCTTGGGGCCAGTCGAGCTGGAGAAGCCCACCAAGGTCGGCGCCTGGGACGAGAGCATGGTGCTCGACGATCTCGACTTCCTGCGCCCGTGCCTGCAGAAGGTGAAGGAGAGATGCCGCTCTCCAGAGCAGTGGATCTGGCCCTTCGAACCCGGCAGCCTCACGGTCAGTATCCAGGAGGCGGCGGAGGCGCTCGGCGTGGCCACGATGGGGATCACGGCCTACGGGTTGCGGCACGGCGGCGCCTCGCACGACCTGCCGGCAAGGCGGCGGAGCCCGCTGGAGGTCAAGGCGCGCGGCCGCTGGCGAAGCGACGCCATGATGAAACGCTGCGGCAAGGAGGCCCGCGCGTTGGCGGAGCTGCACAAGGTTCCGCAGGCGGTGCTGGACTTCGGCAGCGCCGTGAGGAGCAGCCTCTCCAGCATCGTGTTGGACGGCGCGGCGCTGCCACCGGCGCCCTTCCTGGCGCGGCTGCGCTGACGGATCGTGAGATAAGGTTTCGCCTTCGCCGCATCTTGCGGCGCGCCCTAGGTTCAGCAAGTAGTCGGCGCAGCCAGGTCTTGTCGGAACTCTTTGCGGGATCCGCGGGCATGTCCAGGGCCATGCGCGCCCAGGGGTTTGCGATGATTTCGGTTGACATTTTGAAACAGCCCTGGTTCGATTTGAATCGAAGGGTCGTTCGGACGACCCTCTTGGGATGGATTTCGAGCAATGTGGTTTCAGCTGTTTGGGCGGGGGCGCCTTGCTGCACCTGGTCCCAGGCCCGCCACGGGCCGCCCGGCTCCAGTTGGTGTAGACTGCGTAGTGCCGAGCACGTCTGGGGCCTCCCTCATCTGGACACCAGGGCCTCGGAGGCCTACAGACGTGGGAACGACCCATTACGTTTTTGTCTTCGGGTGGCTCGAGGCTGCCTTCGTGTGGGCATTCCCGTTGCGCTCGAGAATCCTGGGTCCAGCTGGTTGTGGAAGGTCCCCCCGCTCGAGCGCCTGGCCCGTCGCTCGACGAGCCAGGCCTGCACCGTAGACTACTGTGGGTTCGGGGCTCGTTGGCGTAAAAGGACTAGGGTGTAGATCTGGGCTCACAGCTTCACTATCGAACTTCCCGCTCTTTGTCATGGTCGTAGTGGTATATGCAGTCACTCGTCCAAACCACACATTGTTTTAACAGGTGTTGATTAGAGCTCGGGCAAAGTGTGGACTCGCGTTGCTGAGCCTTATCCCTCTCGGTTCTGTATCTGCTTTGCCCGGGCTCTGAAGCGGAGTGTCGACTCAAATCGTCTAGTTCGTCTCCGACAAATTATTTCATGATGCGGCAAGTGCCAGAATCCCGTTCGGGGTGTATAAATATATTTTTTTTTCTCAAAAAAAACATTTTTTTTGTTGTTGTTTTCCCTCTCTCTCTTTCCTCCTCGCTCGTTTGTGTTGTGTTGTGTGTGGTTTGTGGTGCCGTGGTGTGTCTGTGTCGCCCGCTCGTCCTCCTCGTTCGTTCGTTTCCTGCCGAGCTCTGCCCGTGTGCCGACCTGTCCTGTTGGGCCTGCCTGGCCTGAGACACAAAAAGGGTCCTGGCCATGGACAGCGTCACGATGATGATGATGCTGATGACCTTGATACTTCCGACGATGATGCTGATGATGATGCTGCTGGTGATGCTGCTACTGCTACTGGTGATGATACAGACGATGATGGCGACGACGACGGTCATGATGATGCTGCTGCTTGTGATGATGATTCTGGTAACACTGCTGATGTTGATGATGGTGATGATAATGATGATGCGGCTGATGATGCTGCAAATGCTGCTGATGAGGATGACACTGCTGATTGTAATGATGCTGATGATGCTGCTGATGATGACGATGAGGATGATGGAGATGAAGATGATGGTGATGCTGATGATGATAATGATAATGATGGTGCTGATGATGATGCTGATGATGCTGCTGCTGATGATGATGATGCTGACGATGATGCGACGAGGAGGACGACGGCGACGATGCTGATGCTGATGGGCTGTACTTGTACGTGAATCCTGTGTCTCGCTTCGGTGCTCAGCCGCTCGACCCCCAGTCGACCCGAACGGTAACTCGTTTTTGTTCGCCGCAACTGCGGTGGCTCAAGCTTCAAAGGGCTCTGGCCCCCCCTCCCGCGCGCCCAGCAGGCGTTGCATGTGGGAGTGGCTGGTCCAGCGCGGTCCCGAATACCTGGCCCAGGGGATCGTCAACTACGCGGCTCGCTGTCCTGCGATTCCCGCCTGCCCAGCCTCAGGCTGCCCGCCGTGCCCGAGGCTGGTGTGCGGGGACTGCGTGGTGCCGGCCTGCCCGGCCTGCCCGGCTTGCTTGGGCAGCTCGGCGCCGCCTGCGGCTGCCGAGCCCGACTGCCGGCCCGCGGAGGCGGAGGCGGGCTGCAGCGAGTCAAGGCTGGGGCTGCTGGCGTACCTGATCTTCTTGTTCGGCGTCGTGGTCGGCGCCCTCGTGGTGTCCAGCGGGTGGGGCTGCGTGCGGGGGCTGAGGCGCATCGGACGAACGGCCATCAAGAAGACCGAGAGCGACGATGAGTTGGAGTTACGTCCTGTACAACGTGGACGGCCAGCCGCTCTGGCATCAGCGGAGAGTGTGCGGGGTGGTGGCGCAGTCGGCTGGTAAGCTGTGCGTGGCGGCCACTGCGGACGGGCACGTCTACGCCGAGGACTGGTCACCAACTTCCACGGACGTGGTCGCAGTGCGGTGGTGCCAGGGGTGCCGCGACGTGCCGGCGGGCGTCCCGCGCGATCGGGCGTGTGTACCGTTTCAGGCGGGGGCCGTCGACGGCGCGGGAAGCCGAGTTCCAGCGGGCCGCCGGGGCGGAGGCCGAGACGGAGGGCCGCCTCCTCGCGGCGGCGCAGGGCGTGGTTCCTCCGGCCGCGGGCTTCGTGTGGCTCCTGCCGATCGACGCGGTGGGCCAGGTCGTCGGGGCCGACGCGGGGGCGCTAGTGCCAGCTGCTGCCCCTGCTGTCCCGGTGGCGGCGCCTGGTGCCGCTCCCGTCGGAGGCCTCGTCGCAGGAACCGCTGCCGCTGCAGCTGCGCCGGTGGCCGCGCCGCCCCCGCGCCTGCAGGGGCCCCTGCAGGGCGTGGCCCGGGCCGCGTGCGGACGGCGCGGGCGCTCGGGACCAAGGACTTGCACGTGCTGGCCGACGGGGCGGCGCTCTTCGTGGAGGAGGTCTCCCCGGCCAACGAGACGAGTTTCTTCGACGAGGGGGCCTCGGGCGACGCGCGCATCATGGCCGTGCGCCGCAGCCGCCAAGGGAGGCGCGAGCGGGCGTGGGCCGAGATGGTGGCAGATGTGGTACGAGAAGACTTCACCAACGATTGGGATCTGCCAGGCCCGCGGTCCACGCTGTGGTGCTTCGAGTTCGTGAACCAGGAGGGTCTCGGGCTGGATGACCACCACGAGCGTTTCAGGAGTACGTGCAAGCTCGAGAGCTCGAGCTGGGGCGTGTCGGAGCACTACTGTGTCACGCGGGCCTTGAAGCTCGGGCTCTTGAGTGACCAGGTCGACGAAAGCAACCTCATGATGGTCGAGAGCCTCTTCCGCCGCCTCCAGACGATAGAGTTCGCTCACTCCGAGCGGGCTCGTGAGCAGGAGGCCAAAGGATACGGGGGCAAGCTGAGCCTGGAAGAGCAGACGGCGTTCGCGGGCTCCTCGCGCGCGGGAGGGTCCTTGATGATCTGCCCACTCTTGCTGGACTACGTGAGGGGCGAAGTCGAGCGGGAGGCGTCCCTGACCAAGAACCTCCGGAAGGCGAGAGAGGAGCGCGAGGCGGCTCGCAAAGACAACAAGAATAAGAAGGGCAACGTCAATGGGTGACCGCCGTCTCTCTTTGCCACACCCTGTTGCGCGGGCCGTGGGCATGGCGGGACCCGCTGGCCTGCGCGGTTCGCCTCCAGCTGGCGCGCCAGAGCGATCCCGACCCTCGAGTGACCCCGTGAGCTGGGCTCTGGGGCCAACCAGCGAAGCTTGCCAATTAGATTCCCCCATCCATCCTCCTTCCTCCTTTCCTCCCGCGTCTGGCCGACGCGTGCCCCGCGAGCTGTTCCCCCTCCCCCGCGGAGAGGTTTTCAGAGTGTCTCGGGCGCGCGCCTGTAAGATGGCACGTGGCACGCGACAGAGATTGGGTAGGCGACCGGCCGAGGGTCGAGAGGTCGATCGAGCGGTCGGGGGCTTGTATTCGTTCTACTCCCATCAGCCGCAGCCCCCGCCTCGCGCCTCTCGGGAGCTGTCTTCGGATCAGGTCAGCGACGGTGGCACTTTTTTACTTGCATCTGCAGGTCAGGCCGGGGTGTTGGACCGAGTCCGATGCGCCGTGCGTGACCTCGGCCCCCCACCCGAGGGGGTCACTCCCGCGGAAGCTCCGAGGAAGCTTCGCGTGGCGAGCTGGTACGATGTGGACGGTGCTACGCTCGGTCGCTACTCTCTCGCCGAAGTCTCAGTGCCTTCAGGCGATCCCAGGCCTGTTCCTGTGTCTGAGCTGTGGGGCGAAGGCGGGCGCCAAATGGTAGAGGACTTCTGCCGCTTGAATGTCGTTCCGTCGGAGCAGTCGCGGGCTCGACTCCGGGCCTCGGGTGTTGACCCTCCTTATTCTGGTCCCAAGCTTAGGCGCCCTCGCGCTTTCGAAGGGTTCATGGCGGCGCTGGCCGCCCGCGGAGTGCTCGTTTTTGCGCGCGAGGATGGAGAGCGAGTGGAGCCGTTGTTCGTAGCCAAGAAGAACTGCAAACTGAGGCTTGTCGTAGATTGCAGGCGCTCAAACTGTCATTTCACTGAGGCGGGGAGGATCCCTCTCTGCACCGGAGAAGGGCTCGCTGCCATCGAGCTCGGAGCCGATGAAGAGATCTCCGCTGGCGGTGCGGATTTGAGTGACGCTTTTTCATCATATGGGCCTCCCTGAGCCTCTGAACAAATGCTTTACTTTTCGGCCCGTGCGGGCTGGAGCGGTAGGCTGCGCGAAGATTGGGGGTCGGGCTGTGGCTGCGCATTAGAAGGTTTATCCCAGGCTTCGCTGTCATTCCCATGGGATGGTCTTGGGCTCTTTGGTTTTGCCAGAAGATTCACGAGGGGATTGTTGAGGCAGCTGGCTCGGGCCCCAAGTATAGAATCACCGACAAGACGTGCACCCCCGACCTCAGCCAACCATGTCACACGCAGTATGTGGACAACTTCATTGCTATCTCGTCCGGCGCAGACCACGTCGAAAACTCTGTGACTGCTGCCGTCGCTGCTCTGGAGGCCCGAGGCCTCGTCGTTCATGAGGGGGATCATGGGGGGGGGGGGAGTGCTACCGCCAAGTTGCTTGTTTGGGTCATCGATCGAAGGGGTGGGCGTCTCGTTGCTTCTCCTGAGCGTCTATGGCGTGCTCGGCTTGCTATTCGCGTTCTTCTCGCTCGTGGTCGGGCAAAGGGCCGGGGTGTTGAAAGGCTTCTCGGACATCTGGTTTTTTTTTATATCCTTGGTGCGACGTGAAGGCCTCAGTTTGTTTTGGAGTTGCTATGGTTTTATTCGCAAGCATTCTGACACGGATTCTACCCTGTGGCCCTCGGTTCTTCGGGAGTTTAGCGTTTGGGACTCTATCTCTCCGCTCCTTCATCGTGCTCTGTGGGCTGCTGGGGGTGGCGAAGTTATCGTGGTCGATGCAAGCGAGTGGGGCCTTGGTGCCTGTTCCAGCCGTTGCGGGGCCTCTCTCTGCTCATAGGTTGGACGTGCATCCGAGAGGTGGCGCTGGGGTCGAGGTGGCGCCCTCGGGGGCCCTCGTCGCCGCGGTGGGCGCTGGGCTCGAAATGCCGCGACAGCGGCGGCCCTCGACGGGTCCACGGAAAGCGCCGCCCCTTGGATGTACGGCCCCGACGACACTCAGGATCCGGTTCTTGATCGTGGTGCTTCCGGACAACCGGAGGCCCCTCTCGCGGGGGGGCGCGCCCCCGGCGACGTCTACGGCTTCGGGAGGTTAGCTCGAGAAGGTGAGTTTCCTGAAGTTCCAAGGGAGATGATCGAGCAGGATTGGAAGGTGGTGGGGAGGTTCGAGTGGCGTAAGAAAGGCGAGAGCATCCCAGTCCTGGAGGCTCGGGCGACCCTGTACGGCTATAGACACCTCCTCCGCAATTCCCATCACCGTGGCGAACGTCTGGTTGTCCTCGGGGATTCTATGAGTGTGGCCGGTGCTGTATCCAAGAGCCGCAGTGGAAGTCGGGCCATGATGAACGTCACCCAGAGCATCGCCGTCCTCTCTCTGGCGACGGGCTCCACTCTCCACTACCGCTGGCCCCCCTCGGAGTGGAACGCAGCCGACGGTCCCTCCAGGGGGCGTTGGCGCCCCGCGGCTCCCATCGCGCTGGCCGCGCGGGATGCTCGCGCGCGCGGCGCCGGCTCCGGGCACTGTCCTCGCCCAGCCGGGCGTCGCGGGCAGGGCCCCTGCCCGGGGCCCCCCAGGCAGAGATGAGGGGGCCCTGGGCGCCAGCTCCGCGGCCAGCGGGCGAGATGGCGGGAGCCTCGAGCCGGCCTACGTCATCGGGGCACAGTCGCGTGGCCGCGCTGCGCCAGCAGCAGCGTGTGCTGCGACGGCCGGCCGCCTCGCCTGCTTCTCTGGCCTCGAGCGGGCCACTGCGCCGCAAAGCCTCCCAGCGGGCCACGCGGGGTGTGGCGCGGCGAGCTGCGGCTGCGCGGGCGTCGGGTATGGCGGTGCTCGAGGCGGCGCCCATCCAGCCCAGGACCCGCAACCGCTACCGGGAGATCTTCCGCGACTTCCTGGCGTGGGCGAACGGGCGGCCCCTGACGTCAGAGTCAGAGGACCTGGTGGACGAGGCGATCGCGGAGTGGCTCGACGAGCTGTACCTCGACGGCGGGGACCTGAGTGCGGGCTCGTGGGCCAACGCGGCGGTGGCGTCCTTCGCGGGCCTGAACAAGGCGTCGGGTGCGCTGATGCCGCGTTCCCGCCAGGCTTTACGAGGCTTCCGCAGCTTGGCGCCACCGCGATCTCGATTGCCCATGCCCTACATGGTGGTGGCGATGGTGGTGATGGAGCTGATTGCCCAGCGCCGCGTCGAGAGTGCCCTCGTGGTGCTCCTCATCTTCGAGCTGTGCCTGCGGCCCGGGGAGGCGTTCCACATCGGGGCAGTGGACCTCGTGCCCCCAGTCTCGGACGTCAGCGGGGCCTCCCACTGGTGCGTGACGCCCCATGCAGCCGAGACCGAGCGGGAGTCAAAGACGGGCGATTTCGACGAGAGCCTCCCGCTCGACCTCGGCCGCCAGTCCTGCCTGGGGCCAGCGCTCAACCAACTGGTGAGTCAGCGCCTCGGGGCCAACTGGCGGGCGGCGCAGCAGAGGTGCGTCGGTGCCAGCCGCCGCCTGGCTGCCCCGTGGTTCATCGGGACGCTGGCCGACGTGACGAAAGACTTCGAGAACGTTGTGGAGGCGCTGGGAAACCACGCGGCCCTGGGCGCCGCCCACATGTACATGCTGCGACACGGCGGCGCCTCGCACGACTACGCCTCGGGGTACCGCCGCCTAGAGGACGTGCGACGGCGCGGCCGCTGCCGTTCGTGGTCCTCGGTGAGACGCTACGAGAAGGGCAGCAGGCTCGGGCAGGTCGTCCACGGGCTCTCGCCCGCCCTGCAGGCCCGCGTAAAGCTCGATGCTATACCCTTCGTCTCCGGCAGCGTGTCTTCGTCGAAGTTTTCTCGGGGGGCGGGCACCTCTCGGAAGCGATCTCGAGCGTAGGTGTGACGGCTTTGCTCTGGGACATTAGCCTGGGCGTGAACTACGACCTCGGGTGCAGGCGCAATCGCCGCCTTCTCCTTGGTTGGGTGAGGGATGGTCTTGTGGTTGGGCTCCATGTAGCCACTCCTTGCTCATCCTTCAGCCGCGCCCGAGACACCCCCCCCTTGAACCCCTCGGCTCCGGAGCGACTCGGAGCCGATGGGCCTCGGTGGGCTGTCCCAGGCCGACCAGGAAAAAGTGGCGATTGGTGACATCCTGATGTTGTTTTCGGCGTCTCTAATACGCGAATGCGGCCAGGCTCAGATCCCTTGCTCCCTCGAGAATCCCGCCTGTAGTCGACTGTGGATTTGCCCTGCTATGCGTCGGCTCTCCCGGACTCGTGGCGTCGCTGTCATTACCGCCGATTTCTGTCAATGGGGAGTCCCTTGGAAGAAAAGCACGTGTTTCTTATCCTCCAGCCTTGACTTGATCGAGCTCGCGAACGCGAGATGTGTGGGCAGCAACAAGGGTATATGCAGTCGTACGGGTCGTGGTCATCAGCAGCTCCAGGGCAAAGATCCTGCTGGTCACTTCTACACAATGATGATGATGCTGATGCTGCTGATGCTGATGGTGATGATGATGATGCTGATGCTGCTGCTGATGCTAATGCTGCTGATGATGCTGCTAATGATGATGATGCTGATGTCGCTGATGATGCTGCTGATGATGATGATGATGGTGATGATGATGATGGTGATGATGCCGATGATGATAATAATGGTGATGCTGCTGATGACGATGATGCTGATGCTGATGCTGATGATGATGCCGATGACGCTGGTGTTGATGCTGCCGCTGATGATGATGCCGATCTTGATGATGTTGATGCTTATGATACTTATTGTGATGGTAATGATGAGGATGACGCTGATGATGCTGCTGATGATGATTGTGATTTTGCGGCTTCTGATGATGATGATGATTCGGATGATGATGCTGATGATGCTGCTGATGGTGCTGATGATGGCGATGATGAAGATGCTGATGATGCTGATAATGATGATCGTGCTTATGCTGGTGATAATGATGGCGATGATGCTGGTGATGATGATGCTAAT